CGACGGTCGCGTCCGAGCTCGAGACACGCTTCCTTGATGCAGGAACGTCGCCGTGCCTCTTCGTATCCCGCCCACCACTGACGGGTGCGGCTGTAGGTGTATGACGCTCCACCAAGGTCACGATGACGCCCCTGTCTCCATCATCCTTGGAGGTGCTCACGTCGCCACCCATCTCCATGGGCTCCTCCGACTCGAGCTCCACCTCCACATCGCTTTGGTTTTCACCGGCCCGCACCCACCAGGCGATCTCTTTCTCCTTCTCATGCCTCCTCTGGGCCTTCTCAGCTCTCTTCTTCTTTTTGGCAACCACCGCCTCTTTTACAGCGGCTTGTCGAGCTGCGCCCTCCGGTCCCCTCGGAAGATGCGGCCGGGATTTGTAACCGACGAGTCCCTACGAAACGAATGACTTGAAGTCAAAATACAGGAGAGCAAAAGGGAAAAAGACACGGAATAAGGAGAGGGGAACATATCAGATTGGACAGCTTCCCGGCGTGGAGAGGTCCGGTGTAACACCCCAGCCCGGGAAGACGGCTAAGATCCACTCTACAAGTTGAATGGATCACACCTGCTAATTAACTCTCTTATGCTTTCGTCCTCGCTTCGCGCAAAAGATTCGAACCAGAGTTAATAGCCTCCCAGAGCTCAAGCTTTTAAGTTGGTTCAACCCTTCCTCTAGTTCCGATGTGGTACTAAGTCTGCCTGCTACAGTATCTTCCGCATCTACAGTAACTGACAACCCAAGCTACAGTAGCCCCGCGGCCCAGCCCATCATCAGACCGGCCTAGCTCTAGCCCATTTAGTGGGGTCTCACATCCGGGCTTTCCTTCGAGGGACTCTTGGGCCCTCAGTTGTAGCACCAGGTCGAGCCGACTCCAGACTTAGTCCTTCGCCAGCTCCTCCGGTGACGCGTGGTCGGGATCCATTGGGCTGGAATACATCCACATCGATCGCCTCCTCTCCTCCAGCGGGGCGACTCGATGGCACAAGAAGGTGTGGAACACCCGTAGCCCATCGAGGCCATGCTGCACCAGCTTCTGGAGCTCCGCCTCGATGACCTCCAGCTTGTTCTGCCGACTGGAGGGACCCCATGACCAGCTCTCCTGCCTCTTTCGCCTTTTTTCGGTGAATGGTGGGAATGGTGCCTCCGCTGGGTTCCTGATGTAGAACCACTCCCTATGCCACCCCTGATCGGAGTCGCAGGGGGAGTACGCGGGGTAGGAGCCCAGCGGCCTTGGCTTCTTTTGCAATGTGAAGCCCCCAACCGACGTGGTCCTGGGCGGCTTCCTGTCCGACAAGGCTCGCCCAGTGAAGATCCACCGGAAGAAGTCCATGTGCGGCTCCATCCCGAGGAAGGCCTCACAGACGGTCACAAAACCAGCAACGTGCAGCACCCTAGTCGGATTGAGGTGCTGCAGCTCCAGGCCCTACTCATTGAGGAGCCCACGCAAGAACTAGTGCGTGGGATATCCTAGCACGCGCTCGTGGAAGGCGAGGAAGGAGACAACCTTATCGGCCCAAGGTCGCGGAACGGCTTCCCCTGGCGTAGGAGCCCTCCAATGCGCCACCTCCTTCGGCGGGAGCAGCCCCTTCTCGGTGAAGGCGGCCAGCACCGCCTCGTCCATGTTGGATGGCCTCCAGTTCGACATCTTGCTCCAGATTCATGAACAAATCTATGAGTTCTCCTCTCCCTCGCTATCCTTTCTCTATTAGAAACCGTCATGGCGCACAAACACGCTTGGCAAAAAGGAACAAGGAGGAGAGATAGCAGTTGAAGAATAGACGAAGGAATGGGACGAAAACCCTCTTCCTTCCCCTATTTAAGGAGGAAAGGCAGCAGTTGGAAAAAGGCGAAGGAATGGGGCGAAAACCCCTCTCCCTTCCCCTATTTAATATGGATAGGTATGCGGTGGGACGCGTCCTGACTGATAGGACACGCCCTGCCTAATGAAATGATGTCTGGTTAAACGGGACATGGCCTGGGCATGGCCCACCACTACCACACGCCGGGCACAGAAAACAAGGCGCAACCACACGCAAATGGCCCTCCGCCTTCCCAAGCAGGACTTAGAAGGGCCCAACGATGGGATCTCCATCAAGGTGAGATCAACGGGCTTCCTGAGTTGATTGGATGGCTCAGACGAATGCCGAGAGACAGGTACGGAGCAGAGGGATGCCCCATGCGGGCTATGCTAACTCCGTCATGAATGACAGACACGGATCCCATTCGGACATATCCGATAAGAGCTCCTCAAACCCGTCACTCGAGTCATCAAGGTAACTTTACCAAACCTTCTTGCTTTATTTTCTGATGCATGATCATTCATTCATCATTTCTCATACATTCATTCATACAATCATTCATTTCATCCCATACATCCAAAGCATTGCATATGCAATTAAATGCATCACAACGCTTCGTGTTGCGTCACAAAGCGGTAGTTGCCTCATTCAACATGAGCAAAGACTGACCGGGGTTCGAATGTTGGCCCGTAAAGGGCTCGAGGCCGCCTTGCGTCAAACAGAGCCAGGGGAGAAAACATAGATGAGCCCCAGCGGCCCTCGCTCGGTATGCTCAGAAGCAGACGGGGTAATCTCGACCTTCTCATTCGATCTTAACCTCGAGCCATGCCCACAGAATCTCCATCGAGGAGAGGCTAGCGGGCCACCTGAGTCGGTCTTCGGAATGACCCGGGCATCTGTCGGGAGGCGGGTTAAGGAGTAGTGTAATGCCACATGAGGGCTATGCCGACCCCGTTACGAATGACGGACCCGGATTCCGCTCGAACGCACATGTTAGTGAGCTCACCGAGCGCGTCACTCGAGTCATCGAGGCAAGCGACGTTAGCTCAGCTCCTCCCGTCGCGGAAATCGCGGACGGGGTAACGTACGGAACTAGACCAACCCCTACCAAACCCAACGGGGCTCAGGGGCTCAGGTCGCCTAACGCCGACTTAGGAAATCAACCGACCACGCAGGTCGTGGGCGGGACAAACACGGACGAACACCCCGAACGGTAGAAACACAGGAGTCTGCGGCCCTAGAAAAGAGTACCAAGATACTCAGCCTCCAACCGACTCACCAGTCGGACGCAGGCTCAGGGGCTACACCCACCAGGTGCGCTCACGCGCACCCGCTGGCAAGTCGAAAAATCCCCCAGACGATTCTACCCAAATCATCTGGGGGCTCGGGGACTACACCCACCGGGTGCGCTCGCGCGCACCCGCTGGCAAAACGAAAAATCCCCCAGACGATTCTACCCGAATCGCCCGGGGGCTCGAGGGCTCCTGTCGGGTTCATAAACCCGAGGTCCCTAATGGGCCCGCTTCCTAGCAAAAAGCTCGACCCAGCAAACGATGTTGCGAACGACGTGCAACTCCTGGGCCGGTCCAGATACCTAAACGACAGGCTAGAAGAGCAATCCAGTCTTCGATCGAAAGGCCTGGCCAAGGAGGGGCGACGCTCGCTTTCGACCCCGACCCGCTTCTCCGACCGGAAGGCCTGGCCAAAGAGGGGCAACGCTCGCATCTGACTCCGACCCGCTTCTCCGACCGGAAGGCCTGGCCAAGGAGGAGCGACGCTCGCTTCCGACTCTGATCCGCTTCTCCGACCAGGAATACATCGAACCACTGCTTACGGCTCTTCTCCGACCGGCGCGGTCGGAGCCAACTGGGAACGACCGGCTGGGGACGCCCGCTCGGTGAGGACCCAAGAAATCAGGCAGAGCAGATAAGGTGAGGCGCTCAAGTCAACCGCAATACCGAGAACCGTACCCTACACACCTGTAGGATAGTACTGATAGGCCATGCCAGAAGGGGGCTCTGCGACCTTTCAGACATGTCAGAACACAAAGAGTGTTGTAGGCGTCGATATTTGTCCTACAGCATGGTAGGCGCTGACATTTGCCATACCAGAAAGAGCATGATGGAGCCTGCCACACGTATCTGGGTGTCAACAGTATTGTGGGCGTCGGCAAACTGTCTTATACCCGACGGCGTGGGCAACAAGACTAGGAAACATACACTCTCTCTCTCCTAACTTGTAAGGCTATCCCCTTCATCTATAAAAAGAGACGCGCTCCCTCCTAAAAGGAGGACGCACGACGAACGAGTCATTTCGACTCTCTTTATGCTAGCTTTAGACATTCGGAGCACTAGAACAGCTTCACTGCTCTAGAACTCTAAAGCTACACAGAGTATATGTTCCAATACTTAGCGCACGTAGGAGCTCCTGTCACTCTCAGCCCTTCAATCCAGAGTTTGATCGGACCTCTAACACCCCCGTCTTATTCACTCTCGTTTATAACCCCACAACAAACTGGACGTAGGGCATGTTACCTGAACCAGTATAAACCCTATGTCATTGAATGCTAGGCCACACCCGATCATAACGTACGACAAAATTATAAATATTTACGTGTTGATCACTTTTCGCACCAACAACTTGATTGGGAGGAGATGTTCCTCTCGGTCGTGTTGCTTTTTTGGACTTTTGGAGTTACCGATTAACAGGAGGTTGCTTTTAAGCACCCACCTTTACATCCACTGGCCGTTCGCGCTCGGGCCCAATAGTCATTGATACGGATAACATACTACCAGTATTTACTACTGTAATGATAAAAAAAGTGTATTTACTACTGTAGTCTCCCGTCCTTGAGTACGCGCATTGCTCTCTTTACGCCTTCTCTTCTTCGGTCGTCTGCTCGGAAGTGGCCTCCGTTATCTCCGCCGCCAAAACAACGCTTCGTTCCATCACTCATCAGTCTCGAACTCTCGATGCGGCCGGCCCGCGCGGCGTCACCAGCGTCGCGCGGGGGATGGGCGTTATACGAGCTGTACAGGGCAGCGAGCCGCGCGGCGGCGCCGGCGGTGCTATTGTGGCGGCGACTGCAAGGGCTGGAGCACCCGATGCGGTGGCCGGAGCGGCTAGGCCGGCCGTCTGCGGCGCGGCCTCGGCCGGGCTCTCCGCTCGTGTGGTTTCATGCCGTATCCCTCGGGGAGGGAATGGCCGCGCTCCCCGTTGTCCGCCACTGCGTCCGCCTCCATCCCGGCCTCCCCGTGCTACTCACCACCACCACTCTCTCCTCGTTGTAAGCTACCGTTCTCAACGGCGAGTGCCATTTTCAAAATTCATATTGCGTTGTCGTCCCCTAAATACCGCTATTCGGATTGTATGCAGCGAAGTTATCAAGGATCTACTCCCTGATGGTGTCATATATCAGGTGCGTTTGCAGATTGCTCGCGTAGCTTCAGACCCTTGTGGCTGTGCTGGATTTAGTTTAGTGAGGATGAACAGTGTGTTTTCTTGGCAAGTACTATTATTTGATAATTCGAATTGGTTTGGTTTTGGTCATCTGTTGATGCTTCTCCATGCCCGAGTACTGCTGTCTATAATGAGATAACCATACATTGATACAGTACAGTTGTACTATCACTTAAATTTCACAGGATTATTGCCCTAAAAATGTTGCAGGGTATTTACCTAACTGCAGCTATTAGGTTGTAATAGTAAACTTCGAGTGAAAATTGGGAGGGAAAGTGTAGAAGATTGTTCAGATGCTGGGACTAGCTGCCTTAAGGATTTCGGAAATCTACATTGGAAGCAGCTTCATGCGCAATTTTTGCATGCTATGTTTATTTCTCCCTTCCAACCTCATTTTTCTATGCGTGTAGTTTGCTCCTCTTGACTGTCCTAATGCAATAGACAGTTTTATTGGATACTGGAAGCCAAGTTTGGTACTTCTTCTGGAAAGTGAACTCTGGCCAAACCTCATTATGTCTGCAGCAGCAAAAGGGGTAAGTGGCTTTCTCATAATTCTGGAGCATGAGATCACTGTTCATGATCATGCTTATTTTCTAGTTCCTAGTGTTCATCCTTCATTTTCTAGTTCCTAGTGTTCATCCTTCTCTTTAGTTTTCCATACTGCAAGAGCAGAACTTTTATCTGGACTATTCATAGTTTCTGCATCATGCATTCATGCTGTAGGTTGTAGTTACTTACTTTTATGAATTGTCTACTTATCTGCAGATTGCAGTGGCGCTTTTAAATGCTCGCCTATCATTGAAATCTTTCAACCACTGGTCGATGCCTGTAGGGTTCCCATTAGTTGCTCTGATGCTCTCTAAACTATCACTTGTTGTCCCATTGGTAAGTACTCATGGTAATGCTGACTTTATTTTTATGTTCATCCATTACTGCTGCCATCATTCATTCCTTATCGTTGCAGAGTACTATTCAGGCTGTTCGTTTTCAGTTGCTACATACACCACCAGGGATCATACATTTTGCTGGAGATTTAAAATATGGTATACTCAAGTTTTGTCTAGTCTTTCCTGAGAATAGATTTTAAGTGATCATATGAGTGATTTAGTTTTAAAGGTTGTCTTGGGAGCTTGAAAGATAACCAGGTTTACAAGTCAAATGATTTATTAGAGGATTCATGTAATTCACATAGCTGTTGGAGATGTTAATGCCGGGGAGAATCAGGTCAACGAAATAAAAGATCTACAACAGCAGTTTAGCGACAGGCCCCTCTGGATGGCTGCTTCTATTCACAGAGGTGAAGAAGAAGGTAAGAACTCAGGAGCTGCAACTTTTGCTGATTCCTGGACTAATAAAATGTATTATATCACTTACTCACTTCACTTCCAGTAAGCTGTACAAAAAACTGTTAGCATTTCACATTTTCATAATAATGGTAACTCCTGCTATCCCTAACCTTTGTTGACTCCTTCGAGTTCTCCAAGAACAACTTTGATTACCACTCCCGCAACAATTTATTGCTGAAAATGCTGTCAGAATCTTATACCAAGAAAAATACTTTCAATGACAGATATATGATGTCATTACATAATGGTCAGGATTGAAAGTTTGACTTACATTCAATTAAGATAGTTAAATACTGTATATTCGTAAATTGTCATACTAATGGAATATTTGTTCAAGATATATAGGAGTACTGTGTCAATGGATGCTTCTATATCCTCAAGCTTGGAATAACTTAATACTAAAATTGTCTTTGTTTTAGAGAATCACCTCTGCCATAGTTTTATTTTTTTCCCCTGAACAATATTCATGTAGTTTCTTATGAATGATCTTCTGTCATATCATTATTCTGCTTCATTATTTGTATTTCTGTTTGTACTCTGATCAGGAAAAATGCAGTAGCCTTTGTGAAAGTATATCTCATTTATTCATCATTTTTACATTTTTCAATGTGGAGTGACATGGAGGAATTACATTCCTGACTTATTATTCTTGCGTTATCAACATGAAGGAAATGGTTTTCAGTTTTCACAAGCCATCTCGATTTTCTTGCTTTATTTTTTCAGTCATCCTCCGCGTTCATGATGAGTTGGGCAAGATGTATCCCGCTCTACTACTAATTCTTGTGCCAAGACATCCTGAAGACTGCAAGAATATTTCCTTGGTACGATGGCATTGCCTTTCTTACCCTTTTTAAGTCATTTGACTACTTGTTTCTTACCAGTATTTTATAGTATCATATCTTGGCGGGTACTCAATTCAAAACAATTAAGGTTCCATTTGGATCCTAGAAGATTTTAAGAATCAGGATAAAAAAATCTTAGAATCTCATCCAAACATACTAGATTCTAGGGGATTTTAACATACATGCACAGAATCCAATAAAACACATGAGATTTTTTTTATCTAGATTTTTAAAATCCCTAAGGAACCAAACGTGTACCTGAACACACAAAGGTAAGTTGCTGGTGACCGACTTCACTGTTTAGAATTTGAATTTCTTCAGCATGAAGAGATTATCATGCATTTGAATTTAGGATTCCAGCTTTGTTCTGGTATGAGATGCTATTCATTATGGTAGGATAATATATCTGAACACATATATTTGTGTATGTTGTTGTAGGCACTAAAGAAACAAAAGATCAATTTTGTGCTGAGGTCAACTAGGGAAGTGGTGTCTTCAACCACTAGGGTATACATGGTTGATACTTTAGGTTTGTGAACATCTCCTTCTGAAAGTTGATATATTGCTGCACAAATTGTGTATGCCATATTGGAACTCCTCCCTCCATTCCGAAATAATAAGCATATTTTGATCAAGGAAAAGTCATGCAAAATAGATTTTGACTCTTAATTTCTCTTATCACAGTATGTTGTCATTTGCTAAAGAATCAGCATCATCGCAAAGGCACTTTGAATACAAATCTATTGATGCAAGTTTTATGTTCTAAACTTGCACATAATTTGAATAATTGTTGGTCAAAGTTTGTAAAATTTGGCCTTCTCTTGTATAAAATATGCTTATCCTTCTGAGACAGAGGGAGTATTGGCTAACGGCATAAAATACCATGGAAAACAGGGGAATTAAGAATGCTTTACAGGGTCACCCCAGTTGCAGTTATTGGCGGTTCATTTCTACCTGGCTTAGCCGGCCATAATATTTCTGAGGCTGCTGCAGCTGGTTGTGCTGTTGTGACTGGTGAGTCAAAGGTATTGGCATACTTTATGTTTGACATTTCTTTGTGAAAAGTCACAATATTTGTTGTTTGTAAAGTGAACTCTGGCATGCAGGACCCCACGTTGGACACTTCTACCATATGCTGGTTGAAATGTGGCAAATAAATCCTTTAGCTGTCAAGCAGGTGACAAATTCACAAAATTATTTTTCTGATATTTTGCTACCTAAACAAAACACCATTCTGTGACTAGCACACCATCGCATAGTAAATTTGATCACCAGCTCAGTTGCTCCTCCATAAAAGTAATCAGTCAAGGTCGGTCGTATGATGAGTGATATTTTTTATTTTTTTGGTTCTAGACTTGCCTCTTTTCCTACTGCTTACTGAAATTAGTTGGGCATGATAAAATTCATGTTTAACAGAGGGAATTGGGCCTGAAAATTCTTTCACAGAGTGTTCTTTTTTCATTCAGGTGTCAGGAGAATTCGAACTTCTGCAAACACTAAAAGAACTGCTTGGTGATGCCAGCACTCTGGGAGCACATCAAAGAGCTGCAAAAAATGCATTTTCCATTATGTCAGATGGAGTTGTGAACCGTGTATGGAATTTAGTCAGCAGGTTCGCCATTGACTTCCAAACAGATACGTGGAACAGTTGACTTAGTGGAGGCCTCTTCTTGTAATCTCTGTGGTACGCTCATGAAACCAAAATTTCCCTGATAATCTGATAATAAGCTTTCACGGCACATTAACAGCTGCTGATTTATTGCAGGGACTGTTGGAGTAGTGGAAATGTCACCGGTGATTGTGGCATGCTGGCGACCTGGTGAGTGGTGACAAAGGACACGAATCTCAAATTAAAGGACACTAAGCTCACATGAAAGAACGTATATCCACGTCATCTGCTCGACTTGCTCCTGTCGGAAATTTAAATATATTCCATAAAAAAATCCTCTGGGATGTCTGTCATCCTTTCATTTCCTTGTGGCATGGATGTGATATATTTTGTCATTCCCTAGTGCCAGCCAGTAGATGATCATTTGTAGTGCCTTTTCCTTTGTAAAATTTGCACATTCAAAGACTCCAGGAATTTCAAGGACCATGTCAATTGTAGTGTTAGATGTGAACTGTTAAATGCATATGATTTTTCAAGCGTGATTTATGTGATTGATGTCCTTTTCTATCTGGGCAAAGTACAGTTTTGGGGAAAGGAAAGGGGGGAATGAGAAGTACAGTATGCCATAGGTTGGACTGCAATTTGCAAATAGACATGAGCGCCCTATTCATTTGGGCTTGTTTGACTTATAAGTCATGGCTGAAAGTACTGTTGGCTGGTTTGGTGTGAGAGAAAAATATTGTTCGTTGGCTGATAAGCCATGGCTTATAAGTCAAATACGACCAGGAGCTAGCCAAGGTAGCTCTTCTTTCCCCCACCTCGTTCAACAGTGCACACGTGGTAGAGAAGTACTCCCTTTGTGTACCAAAAGAAATGCATTGGATGAGGAGTAAATTAATCTCAAATTTAACTAAATATATACCAAATCCTGTGTTTGCTGTTATGCGCGTGAAGGAGAGACTATTTTGTCTTTCTTCTTGCGTGCGTTGCTGTAAATATCTTTGAACAGTGAATACATGGTAAAAATTGATGTGACGAAAAAAGAATGAAAAAATTTGGAATTTAGATGGCACGGAGGTCTTTAAAAAATAGGTATTGACGCATCGCTTTCTTGGAAGCAGCTCCCTTTCCGGGTAGAGCGCTGCTTGTTTTTGTAGGTTCTTAATCTATGTTTATATTGTTTATTGTATTCTCGTTTTTTTTCTTCTGAAGTCTCCAAGTCGTTCGGCGCACTAGGAAAGGCATAGCAGCGCTTCCGCGGTTGATTTTTGAGCTGTGGTGCTGGAGAAGTTTGAGCCAAGAAGACCCAACCCGACACCACCAGGAGGCCCAAATCGAGAGCTCCCATGCTGTTCTCCCACCACTCCCCAGCTGCTACAAGTCAGCTACTCGCCCCTTCCCGCCGCACGCTCCTATTGCCATTGCCATGCCCGCGAGCCGGCGCGACCTCGGCGGCGGCACCGGCACCGGCGGCCGAGGCTGCGCTCCTACCGGGCGGGCTGCGAGCGGAGTCGCTACCGCGGCACGTGGCTGTGGTGATGGACGGGAACTCGCGGTGGGCACGCGCGCGCGGGCTGCCGTCCGCGGCCGGGCACGAGGCCGGGCGGCGCGCGCTGGAGGAGGTGGTGCGGCTCTCCCGCGCCTGGGGCGTCCGTGCGCTCACCGCCTTCGCCTTCTCCCACGAGAACTGGAGCCGGCCCAAGGTATGCTTCCCACCCCCAGGCGCCGTCGCCTTCTTTGTCATTGTCACCGACGAGCTTGACGGTTCTTTCTGCCAATTCGCAGGTGGAAGTGGAATTCTTGATGGGGCAGTTTGAGCGAGCTATCCGCGAAAGTGTAGCTGAATTTCTGAGGTATGCAGTTGCGCCGTCAGTTAACAGCCTCACACTTGGTCTGTACTTGCATTCCTGATAAGATGCAGATGCATTCGAACACTCTATGGAGCTGGCAGTAAACCTCACAACTAAAGTTGCTACTGTAGTAGATACGACGGAAGCTTTGTTGTCCTCGATCGATATATTCTGAATTGCTACCCCGTGATGATATCCCAAGAGCTTTTGCGCTTCATATTTTACAGGGAAGGAATTCGGCTACGTGTGATCGGCGACTCCTCAAGACTGCCGGTTTCTCTTCAAAAGACCGCGAGAGAAGCCGAGGAGGCCACACAGAGCAACTCGCAGCTCGACCTGACACTGGCAATCAGCTACAGCGGGCGGAGGGACATAGTGCAAGCATGCCGGAACCTCGCCCAGAAGGTGCACGACAAGCTGCTCAAGCCGGAGGACATCGACGAGTCGCTGTTCGCGGATGAGCTCGAGACGAGCCATGCCAACGAGCTCCCTGATTACCCCGACCTGCTCATCAGAACCAGCGGCGAGCTGCGGCTGAGCAACTTCCTGCTGTGGCAGTCGGCGTACGCGGAGCTCTTCTTCACGGACACACTGTGGCCCGACTTCGGAGAGGCCGACTACTTCGAGGCACTGGTCTCCTTCCAGAGCAGAGACAGGCGGTTCGGCGTGAGGAAATTGTAGCGCAGAGGCAGGCAGCGCCATGTGGAAGGCGTGCTTGAACTGTCAATAGCAGGTACTAAGCGTTGGTCAGTGGATGATAATGGTTTGGGGCCCATTGTATTCGCATGATGCGGCTGTGTTTGTTACAACTCACAAATGGTGCTTGGGGCTCCTGGAGTCCTGGAGACCAAGATGCGTAGATGGAGTATTAAAGATGGCCGTTTTTTATGGTGGTATGCAGTCAATTAATTCTTGTGACATGTAAGAGTAGGAAATAAACTCAAGATGGTACTAGAGATCAAGCTGCATCTTTCATTTTGATTGAATAGATTCAATCAGACAGCTGCTGAAGGAGCAGCAACAATATAAAAATATCGAGCAGCAACAATATAAAAATATCCTGTATACATTGTTTGATTCATGCAGGCTGTAACGGCCTGTATCTGGTTTGGCTTATCAGTCAGCCAACCGTGTTTTTCTCTCACATCAAACCAGCCAGAAGTACTTCAGCTATGGGCTTATAAGCCAATCCAGCCGAAATGAACATGCTGATGGTGAGCCAGGGCCGAGATAACCTAACAGACGTGGTGTATGGTTTTTGCTTAAATGTCCTTTGTACGGGCAGTTAGGCAGCTACATATCCTGTCACGAAAGATTGGCGACGTACGTAGGTATATATAGGGGCCCTGTTCGCTGGTCTGAAACTGGCTGGTTGTGTGAGAGAGAAACACTGTAGCGGCTGTTTGATGAACAGTGCACCTGTGAGGAGGAGCAGCCGGCTGGTCTGGTTTTTCCAGACCAGCGAACGCAGCCATGGTCTCTTCGGTAGAGCCGCTGCCATTGTTGCAGGTTGCGTTCTCACTCACGACACAGAGTTGTTGAGTTGTGATCTAAATTCAGTTATGTATAAGATAAAAGCTAATTTCTGACGGAGCGAAGCGAGGTCCGTCGCCGAGAGGATTGGGCCGAAGCGAAGCGGTACGGATCGTCGCCTATTAGGGTTTTTCTATCTCTATATATACTTCCTGTAAGCCGTCGTCTTAGGATAAGAAAAGTTATAAATCCCCGATGTTTGTAACCTAACTTGATATAGTGAAGATTTGCTGGCCAGTGCCCATAATTTTTACCTTCTTCATTGGAAGGGTTTTCCACATTAAAATCTCGTATCCCCTGTCGTTTCTAACACGAGTTTCTGTAGAACAGTACTAGCTACAACCGCCAGCAGCGGCTCTTAATGAGAGCTGAACGGACCCATAAGTTCTATGGAGTACAAGGTGGTACAGCGGTGTTTGGTTTCACCTTCAGAATTTTATTAGTTGTCTCATCGGATGTTTGAACATACGTATAAAGTATTAAATATAGACTATTTATGAAACTAAATGCATAAATTGAGACTGTTTTGCAAGACAGATTTTTTAAGCATAATTAGTCTATAATTTGACAACGTAGTGCTACAGTAACCATACGCTAACGATGGATTAATTAAGCTTAATAAATTCGTCTCATGGATTACCGACGGATTCTGTAATTTACTTTTTTATTAGTATGCAAACACCTTATGCGACACCTCCATGTGACATCTTCTAAACTTTAGTCCCTGAATCCGAACACCCTCGGCTGATACAGTGCTTACTGTATCGTCAAATTTTCGTTTTATAAAAAAACTCTATATCGTTAATTCTACCCGTCGTTAAACTTGTTTGGTTCCCGTACAACTATAGTTAATTGCTAAAAATATAGCAAAGACTCTATTTGGATCCTCAGCTAATAGATAGATCAACTAGTATTTTACTTGCCACCCAACTGGGAAAAAGTATTGGCTGATTTCTTCCGACTAACGTAGCTAATGTTAGGCCTAGTTTAGTTCCTAAAAAATTTCACCCTAAACTATCACATCGAATCTTACAGCACATGTATGGAGTATTAAATATAAAAGAAAAAAAACTAATTACACAGTTTTGTTGAAAATCGTAAGACGAATGTTTTAAGACTAATTAGTCCATGATTAGACATAAGTGCTACAGTACTAACATGCGCTAATGATGGATTAGTTAGGCTTAATAAATTCGTCTCGCAGTTTTTAGGCGAGCTGTGTAATTAGTTTTTTTTATTAGTATCCGAAAACCCCTTCCGACATCCCAAAACATCCGATGTGACATCAAAAATTTTCATTTCGCGAAGTAAACACAGCCTTAGCTAAGCGAATTCGAACGCAATGAAAACCAGCTAATCATATGGGGTAGTGGGCATGGCCATTGGGGCGGTGGACAGAAGAACACGAGGGATGGGGATAGAGTCCACCGCTGACTTTAGTGCTTTGCTGCTATGCTAAGGATGACATATTTCGTCATCGACGTTATGGCCCTTCGCAATCTTAAATCTTTGATTGATGTCCTCTTCACCCTGGTGGCTAATGTCTTTTTAGCATCAAACCAGAGTACTTGATCCCGTAGCCCGCAGGAGAATTCAGGGCAACCTCGGCTGAAATCAATCTTTGAACGCCTGAACCCAATCTCACTCACGAATCACACGCGACACGCACAGCCATGCCCCAGACGTGCCAAATCAGCAGGAAACGGGACTCCCGGTGCCCCCCACGCGGCGCACCGAGCCAGATGCGACACGGAAAGATAGTCAGAATCATTGTCTCACTGACGCCTCGGCCCCGGTTCGGGACTCAACTTGGTCGGCTGGTCCGCAGCCAGCCGGTGACCGGACCGAACAATCGGAACCATCCACCCCGGCGCCCGGCCCCAAAGTTCTATATAAACGCAGCCGAGCCCCCTCCCGCAAGCCACAAGCCCCTTCTCCGCGCCCCGCCCCCCCCTTCCCCAAACACCAAAAACCCGCGGCTCCGCGTCTCCGCCGAAGCGGGAGGCGAGCGGGGCAAGCACCTGCTTCCCACTGTGTGAAATTACACTCCCCCTCCCTCTCTTTTCTCACTCCGATTCCCCACTCGCGATGGCCGCGCCTCGACCCCCGCCGCCGGGGGCCCTTGGAGGCGGGGTCGGTGGCAGTGGTGGCGCCGCCCCCGCCGCCGGAGTCAGCATGCGGATGTTCCACGGCGAGGTGTGCCTCGGCGAGATGGAGGTGTTCCCGATGAAGCAGGGGGGCGAGGGGGGCCTCCCGTTCCCGAGCAACGAGATCCACGTCAGCCACCTGTCGCCGGCGAGCGAGAGGTGCCCGCCCCTCGCCATCCTGCAGACCATCGCGCCCTTCTCCGTGCGATGCAAGCTGCAGACCAAGCTGACGCCTCCCAACCCGAGCCTCCAGCGCTTGTATCTTACTTGTTTCAATGAGTTCAAGGTTTGTCCCCAATTTTTTTTGGACAACCGCGAATATGTGGTTTTGTCTTCATGTGACTGTAGTTTCTATGCTCATTTGAAATCGAAGGAATATACATATTTAAGAGTGTGACCTCTTAGGAATTTCTATTCACTGTATTTGTAATTCGTCGAAGAAGTATCAGGAGTTAGCATTTTGCACATTTCATTCTGGGTCTATCATAGGTGTCTTGGCTTGATGTGCTTATATCATTGCCATATTCATTTGAAGTTGAAGCGGAAAACGTAACTTACTGAGGTGGTACTTGTACTTCGTGAGACAAGTTTCATATGCTGAAGCATTTTGTACATTTCATTTCGGGTCTTTCATGGGTTGTAAGTTCCATGTAGTTAGATTCAGGGACTGTTTCTCTTGATAGAACTTTACACAGAACATTAAGATTTGTTTAACACGTTCTCTCATTTGTCTGTGTAGAGCGCTGTGGTAGTAGTTGGGGATGAGGAGCTGCACCTGGTGGCAATGCCGACCAAATCAGGGAAGGTGCCATGCTTTTGGTGCTGCTCAGCACGCTCTGGGCTCTATGCAGCGTCCGTTGGCATGCTCAACTTGCGCTGTCTTGCCATTGTGTTTGATCTTGATGAGACCCTTATTGTTGCTAACACAATGAAGTCCTTCGAGGATCGGATTGAGATGCTTTCCCACAGAATGGATGTCGAAGATGATCCTATCAGAATAGCAGGGATGTCTGCAGAAATCAAACGGTATATTGAGGACAAAGAGCTCCTCAAAGAATTCATCGACACGGATACAGTTACGGACAATGGCAAAATAGTTGGAACCCAGAAAGAGGAGGTTCAACCTATGTCTGGTGGTCAGGAGCGTGTTCTTCGTCCAGTTATCAGACTGCCTGACAGGAATGCAATTTTGACTCGCATCAATCCAGAGGTATGTTTCAATTAGTAGAATGAATTCCATGATATTGTTGTTGGCTTTTCGTGGGCTGCAATAGAGCCTTGTCTACTTTGGGGACATTATTTATTGACCCTACTAAGCTTTTCGAGATTTAATACAAAACTATTGGACTGAGGCACTCAGCATAAATTCTTTTATATTTGGAAGGTGACAGAATTTTGGATATCTAGAGATTTAATTCTTTCATTTAACTTACTGTTCTGTGATTACTCTACCTTTTTCATGCTTAGTATCATCTTACCCATTTACATGATATATTCTTTTCAGATTCGTGATACCAGTGTTTTCGTAAAGCTAAGGCCTGCTTGGGAAGAATTGAGGAGTTACCTAACTGCAAAAGGACGAAAAAGATTTGAGGTTTATGTATGTACAATGGCTGAGAGAGATTATGCTCTTGAAATGTGGAGACTTCTTGATCCAGAAGGCAACTTAATAAGTCCACAACAGCTCTCAGAACGTGTAAATTGTGTAAAGTCAGGCAAGTGAGCTTGTTTCAATTATTGTGCAATGATTTCCTGTATCTGTTTTGTTTCGTTTATCCTGACAAACTCACCAGCAACACCTTTTTGCCATAAACTTTATATTCCAAATGTTCTTTTTGTTTTTGCTTTTCTTTTCTAATATTACGATGCCCTCCTTTTATTGGAACATCTTGTCATTATGCATACACTTATGAGTAAGGTATTTAGCTCCAGTTTATTTATACAGCATCCTTTGTATTCCTAAATAACTTGTTCCCAGTGAAACTGCTGTAATATATGTAG